CCCCCTGAACCAGGTACTTGAGCACGGGACAGCAGGACTCTGAAGTTTCAGTATTTTAACTGGATTAGTGTTGTGACAACTTCAAATTAACAAAGTACTTTCCATATTCAAAATCTTTTTGAATTTTTGAAATTTACTCACTTAAAACGATGTAGAGGTAAGTGGAAGCAGCAGGTTGCAAACTTGTGTGTATGTGTATGTACATAAGAGTTTGTCTTGTGTATCCTTTTATACTATCACAAAGGTTTGGAACAGGCATGATATAAAGGAAAAAGTAAACAAATAAATCTCTATGCCTGTAGCAAGGGTATCTCGGTCTTTATCATATGCACTTTCAGCCTGTTCAGTGTAAGAGTTAATGCTATTCCCTGCTCTTATTTTGTAAGTACGTTCATTGTAGAAATCTGGAAAGTATAACAACAAATAAAATAATTATCACCATCACCTTCCCCAAAAGGAAATTATTTTTCAATCTATTTCATTCATCTTTCCGACCATCTTGTAGGGGTAGGTGAGTTATGAGCCCCATTTTATGGATTAGGAGACTGAGACCTGGCAAGGTGGGTGACTCGCTACTCATGGTTACTCCGTGCACCGGGGACAGAATGGGACCTGGGTCTCTAGGACTCCATTCCATTGCTCTTTCCTCTGGAGCCAGGGGACCACTTTTCTGTGAGGAGGTTGGGGTAACAGCCCAACCTCCGTTCCTGGCTCCAACATCACCTCCCAGCAGCTGAGTGATTTCCAAGCCTGCAGGGCCCAGAGCTGAGAGGGCCTTGGTGAGCACCAACGAAGCTATCCATCACACCCAGAGCCCAAGACCCCCTCGGCCCTGGGCCCTCCACCTCCCGTCCGCCTTCAAGGCACGGGTGCTCACTGGCCACGGTGATGTTGACATCCTGGCGCCGCTGACCAGCCAGGTTGGCTGCGTGGCAGGTGTAGACACCGGCATCACTCTCGGCGATACTGGCAAACACCAGCTCGCGGCCCTTCTGGTAGACTCTGCCGTGCGTGGGCAGCCGGACTCCTACGTGCTCCCACCACATGCTGGGCTCCGGCAGACCCTGGGGGGGCAGGCAGGCCACACGCTCCTCGCTGCCCGCTGTGAACACCCGGGGTTCAAATGGAGGCATGTCTTCAATTTCTGCAGGGATGTGCACAGGAGGGAAACAGCCCTGTTACAGTGGGTCTCAGGGTACCTGATGTTCTCCCACCGCACACTTTGGCCCTTGCCCGCACAAACTCTCCCTATAATTATCTTCAGCATCCTCGTCCTCCCCCTGTCCTCCGAGCTGTTCTCTGAATGGAAACAGGAACCTAAATCTCTACATGCCAACCATTTTGAAGGCAGCCCCCACCTCGGCACCTCAGACCGAGACCCACCTGCCAGGTGCAGTGTGGCCTCCAGGACGACGGGCGGGCCCCTCTGGCCCTGGCCTATGCAGCGGTACACCCCGGCATTGCGCGGCCGGACCTGGGTCAGCAGCAGGGACCCGTTGGCAAACACCGTGGCTCTGCGGAGGTGTGGGGGGCTGCAGGGGGAGAGGGTGCTGACTGAAGAAGTGGCCCACAGGCCGCCTTCTAGAGGGTAAGGTGATGGTTGGAGATGTAGGAAGGTATCAGCCAGGAACAGGGCAGAGAAGGAAGCCAACACATCATGTGAGTGTG